TGAGTGATCCCGCGTTGAAATCCCGGGACGAGAAGGGAAGGTTGTGGAAGAGTAGGATTATTTCGTGAGTTGGGGGGGGAGTTCGTTTTGGAGGAGAGGAGGATTTCAATATTGTGTGGGATTTTTGTTTTGTACTAGGTAGATGGAGATGAGGTTTTGGAAGTTGGTGAGAGGGGAATCTCTGTAAAAGTCCGTAGATATTGAGGGTTTAAATATAGGAATCAGAATGTGATGGGTCGAAAAGAGCATGAAATATTGGACTATTAGTTCTAGTGGTTCCAAATCACAAGAGTTCTAGGATCTACTTACCGTACACTTAACAAATTGTATCAAAATTATTATATTACTCCTTTACCTTTTTCAAATCCTTATTGTCGGGTATGTGGCGGGTTATGGTAAGTGTGAAGCTTCAAGACCCTTCAATAAGATTCATATTGATTTGCCTAGAGAACTAGAACTATGGGAACGGGGAACTATGTAATACGTGATCCTCCCTGTCGGGGCACTAGCGTCAACGCTAGCGGTTCATGTGATCAATATCCAGACACTTATTCATATATCTGGAAGATGTGTTGTAATATTCTGATAAATTTTAAACTATTTAAGATTATAATATAAATAATCATCTGTTTATTTATTTACTTGTATGCATTTTAATTTTGTACTCAAAATATTTTATAATTATTATTATTCTTTGTTAAAGTGAATTGTGACGCCTCACACCTCCGGGTCACGTGGCATGCCCCGTTTGTATTTAATCATAGGAAAACTCGCTACTCTTGTTCAAACGATGGCTACCCCAAGCCCCCCAAACCTCTCTAAAACACTTTCCGACAAGGCCAGCAACCTTCTCAATAAGGTCAACGATGCTCAATCCATCTTCAACCCAGTTACCCAACTCCTAGATACCTACCTAGGCTCTGAGGAAGTCCGCGCTCTCCCACCGAGTTCACGAAAACTCCTCACCTCCCTTTGCCTTGAGTTTAAGGCAACCATCGAACAGCATTTCGACGCCTTTGTTACTGGTCATCCCCCCCCTAGGGGAGCTACTACTCCGCCTGTCACCCTCCTTTCCCCTCCTTCCCCCCCGACTACCACTTACACAAATACACCCACAATATTTATAGACCCCAAGCCCTCCTACATTCAGAAAGCCTCTACTCCAACTATTGTCCTCACAAACAAGACTCCCTTCGATAACCGCTTATTCGTACAAATCAACCAAATATACCCAGCCCGAAGCGCTGGATCTTTTGCAATCCTCACAGCCCTAAAGAAAGTCCTCGGACCAAACGCCTCTCTCTTAAGGAAGGTCCAAGAGGTCAAAACAGGCTTCGCTCTCTGTACCAGCTCAACAGCCAATCTATTAGCCCTTGAAAAACAGAAAGCCATTATATCATCCGCAATCGGAGACTGCAAAATTGAGGCCCAAGAGAAATGGACCACTTACCGTCTAAACTACATCCCCAAGAAAGTCATCATCTTCAATGACCAATTCAAAATAAACTCCATTTTAGTTACAAAAGATACGATCTTCGACACTATAAAGGAATACTCTAGTCAAATGCTTACTCATACTATCCAATCCCAAACGAACCCCCTCACCTAATGAGTATTACTCAACATAGATAGTAAGCTTCAAGACAGGAGCAGAACCCACTCAAAAAGAACCTGAAGATTCTAAAGGCCCAACATCAGCACATCCCTTCTAGTACAAAAACCAAAGATCACTCAATGCAATCGTTGCTTTCAATGGCACAACGCAAGAACATGCCTCAAATCACAAATCTGCCGCCTATGCGGTTCGGGAAAGCATACAGAGAGCAATCATACTACCAGTTGTGGTACTGAACACGTATGCCCACCCAAATGCCTTCACTGCAACGGCCCCCACCCCGTAGATGACCCCAAATGCCCCCTTCGCCCATAAGGGAGAGAAAGGAAATCAAAATCAGAACGCCAGACAATCCGGAAGATATACCTCGAAAACAGAAACTCTGTTTGTGTAAAGGCTGGATGCTCAAAGCCATCATCCGATGCACAAATGGCCGACTCCCCTACCCCTCCCTCCCCCTCGGACCAACTTAGGCCAAGAACCCCCACCCGCCTATTCGGCTCCACTCACTCCACAACCCTCTTCAGCACCCGCTCCGCTAATCGATTTGCAACAATCGCCAACCCAACCCCTATCCCGTTTAATGAACTATAAACCGCTTACGATAACCCAAACCAATGTAGGTAAAGGAGGGATCTCACACGATCTTGTCCTCAATCTAGCAAATATGGATCAAATTGATATCATCACGATCCAGGAGCCATATATATACAAAGATACCTCAAGAAAAATCACCAAAACTCACCCCTCCTACGAAATCTTCACTCCATTAGACGATTGGAAGGAAAACCCTCGTGTCCTCACCTATATCAGAAAAGAAATAGGAATTCAGATCAACCAGATCAGACCGATAATCTCCAGAGATCTAATATTTATACAATTAATATCTACAAATAATACAATATTTACCATTATAAATATTTACAACGCTCCAACACAATGCACAGATAGCAATCAAGCTATCAAGGCACTCTTTGAACTCCAAAACTTCCCAAACAACGCTATCCTACTAGGCGACTTCAACCTCCACCACCCCAACTGGAATCCCCTCCATCCATCCCCTTCAACGCTAGCCGAACCCTTTGTAGAATGGTCAAACTCCCGGAATCTACACCTCATCTCCCCAATCGGAACTCCTACTCACTCAAAGGGAAACGTCTTGGACCTCACCTTTCTCTCAGGGCCCTATACAGCGTATACTGCCCTCGCTAAACAACTAGAGTGCACCTCAGATCACAGCACCCTAAAAACCTACCTTCACTGGAATTACCGAAGCCAAAAGCCTGCAAAGAAACTCAAGCTAAATACATTGAATGAAACACTCTTTAAAGACCTACTAGAAACTAATCTCACCAATATTGCAGTTATCCCCAGAACACCCTCTCTAAGAGACCTAGATCAAGCCGCATTATCCCTTACACAAGCCCTTACAAAAGCCTATATAGGATCTGCAAGAAGATCCATAAACAAGCTCCTTCAATAATCTTGATGAAATAAGGATTATATAAAGACTATGTATAAATATAGAATCATCAATACACCTACATCCAAACACTCTCTTCGGAAAACAGTCCGAAAAGCAAAACACACCTTCTATATTACGAAAGTGGATAAAGTAGAAGATATAAATGATGTATATCGAATAACCAAATAGCATCAATCCATAGGAATATACTGTACCCCTTTTTTAGCAGATCTATCAAAACAAACCATTGCAAATACTATCGAAGAGAAAAGGGAAACCTTCGCCAACAACCTATTGACAAACCTAGCCGAGGTTGACGACATCCCGTTCGATACCCCTACAGCCTCAAGCAGATCTATTACCTTCCCTGATATAGCTATACAAGATATAGAGCTGGCTATTTTAAAAGCAGGGAACACAGCACCTGATGCAGACGAAATCCCAACAAAAATCCTACAAATCGTATGGCTACAGATAAAAGAAGTAACCCTATCCCTTTTCAAAGGCTGTCTACACCTAGGGACACCACCCAAAAATGCTTCCGATTAGCTACCATCGTAATCATCCCTAAACCCAACAAGTCAGATTATACCAACCCAAGATCATACCGACCAATTGCCTTGCTCTCGGTCCTAGGCAAAGGCCTCGAAAGACTCATTGCGAAGAAGGTATCATGGCTTGCTCTAAACTACCAAGTCCTAGCGAACCAGCAGCTCGGAGCTCTACCCTTGCGATCCTCAGTGGACCTCACCACTTGCGTTACACATGACATTGAGACATCCTTAAAACAAGGGTTAAAGACCACCCTGCTCACAATGGATGTAAAAGGTGCTTTTGACGCAGTGCTACCAGGAAGACTAGTGAATCGCCTTCGGGAACAAGGATGGCCAAACAACCTGGTTAGATAGGTTCAGTCCTTCGCCACTAATCGATCCATCAAGATCCGACTAGACGGCGAGACTGGCCCGGAAACAAAGCTAGAATGCGGTCTTCCTCAAGGTTCACCGATCTCCCCGATCCTGTTCATGCTCTACATCGCGCCTCTCTTCTGGATGGGCAAACCACAAAGCAGATTCGGATATGCAGACGATATCGCGATACTAGCGACATCAAACTCACTACAGACAAACTGCGATTCTCTAAAAATAGATATGCAAGAAACTCTCGAATAAGGAAAAACCAAAGGTATCACTTTTGACCCCAAGAAATCTGAGCTTATACACTTTTATAAAGGACACCGAATACTAACGGATACCCCTGCAATATACACCGGATCTATGAATATAGAGGTCAAACCTAGTCCGCTCAAATGGCTCGGAGTCCACTTCGATAGGAAACTATACTTCAAACCACATGTCCAGATCCTCGCAGCCAAAGCCCTCAAGGGAGCCAATGCACTGAGATCCCTTAGCAATACACATCGAGGGATACCCCCATATTTCACCAGGAAAATAGCTGAAGCCTACATACTCAAAAAGTGCTATTTCGCCTCGGAAACGTGGTGGCTAGGCCGAACCAGAACAAAGAAGAATGCCCTAAACAACCTGATCTCGATCTCAAATGTAGTGGACAGCCATCTAAGCTTATTCAACAAAGTAATAATCATTTGTACAAAGGCAATCCTCCCAATATACAAAACTACAAACACAGCAGTACTCTACGAGGAAGCCAAACTCAGATCATCCGAGATCAAGCTAAACCTGATTTCACAATTATATGCGGTACGAACCATCAGACTAGACCTTTACCATCCTCTCAGGATCAAAGCAGAGAACATAACCAAAGCCAGAGAATATAACTGCACCCCAAATACAAGATTCGCAAGGCTCATCATAGCATTACCAGAGACTGAACATATAAACCCCTTGGCCTTCTCATTCTGGGAAATCAAAGAGTCAAGGGCAAAGGCCAAGGCCCGCATCAATAGTCCGATGAGCAGAACAAAGGCACAAGCAACCGAAGACTTCAAAGCCTTCCACACCAAGATCCCAAGAAGCGATATACAAATCTTCTCGGATGACTCAAAAAGTGAAAGCAAGAATGGCGCAACTGGGGGCGGATTCGTAATCTCACAATTCGATATTCAGATAGTATACCATTCTTTCTTATTAGGCACAAATGCAGAAGTGTTCGATGCAGAAGCTACAGCCGCAGTAGCAGGGGCAGCAAAAGCCCTCACTCTAGCATCAACCAAACTGGCCACAGATCTCTGGATCTTCTTAGACAACCACAAGGCTACTCTCCGATTAGGATCCCACTTCAATGATTCCTCACAGAGAGTCTTTGAAGACTTTCTGAAGCTCACACAAGCTTGGGCTGTTAGACCAAGGCTCCCATACACCTCCCCCGGGAAAATCCGCGTCCGATGGGTCCCAAGGCATCTGGATATCCCTGGCAACGAAATAGCTGACAAAGCTGCTAAGGAAGGAACAAAACTCCCTTTTCCCCTTAACCCAATCTATACACTAGCATCCCTAAAAAGAATAATCAGAACAAGGGCCAATAAAGCAGACGAACAATTATAGAATACAATCAGCCCACAATACTACAAAGATCTCCAATTCAATTACACTTCTAATACAAACACCCTCTCTCTGAAGAGAGCTACACTCCACCATATTCTCGCTATCAGATCACAGTATAGCGACTTCGCAATATACCATGAACACTTCAATCACACTATAGTCCACGTCCATTGCTTGTATGGTAAAAGGAAAACTCTATTACACTTTTTCTTTTGCAAAAAAGGAAAAGCCTTCAAAGCGCTTACAAAGAGCCCCCCCTCCGAAGCTATCCCCTGGCTTCTAAGAAATCCCACCGGTATAGCCAAACTAGCCGAATGGCTAGAATACACCAAGTTCTACACAAAAATCTGCCCGTGGCACACAGGTGCAAGATAAAAAAAAAAAAAAAACTTTCTTTTCTTTCATTGGAATTCAAACGGAGTTAATAGGTCTCTAAGGGTGCTTTTCCTTCCTCTTCTTTCCTCTCTTTCATCTTTCCCTTTTCTTTCATTAAAAAAAAAAAAAAAAACAAGTATGTATACTAACAACCAAAACAAGTACGAGGAGACAGGGAGAGAGATCAAGAGGTAGTGATCTAGTGGACGAGGATGACCACAATTACAACCCCAAAAGGCCTACCGGCCCAAACCCCCCCTGCGAAGGCAATCATGTAAACCCTGCCCTAGCCCCCTTTAAATTGTATAAAAATACTCCCCCTAGCTAGCTAGTAAACCACTCAGAGGCTTCTCCTCTGAGCGTCATTTGTCCAAAACTGGAATAGATGGCTAAGGTTATCACGCGCCAAGGCGCGTGGGCCTACGGCCTATGACGATAAACACAATCAATCAATCAATCAATCGCTACTCTTGTTTTCCTTCTTCTTTTCTCCTTAGCTTAGTATTTTCTAATACAAGATACTTTACCCAGTATTCTTGAGTGTGACATGAATGGTTCCTGCGTAGCACGTGCACAGGGCACTAGTGTTACGAGGTTTGCCGTCTAGATCACGTAGAAGTGCTCTAGGCTCTCGAGGTGGTTTATAACTAGGCGTCAAGCAGGGACTTAAAGTAATGACAATAATGCAATTCGTAACTAATAGTAGAGTATACTAAATGATTGATCTTGAGCACGAAGCTCTATACAAAGGAAATCCATCTTGATTATATAGACCATCGTGGCATGCGTCCCAGTGCTCCCAGTTGTCCCAGTTGTACTGGGACAGCTGAGCCTACTGGGATCCTCACATCACATGATGCTAATCACGTGATGTTAGGTATGTGAGATCCGTCGTAACAACTAGTCCTATTAGGACTAGATTGAGAAGCTCTCTGTAAGAGAGCTTCGCACTTCTGTAGAACTTAGAAGTGAGATTAACCTACTAGACCAATATTACCTCAGTTCTGCCCTATTAGCTTCCCACTATTCCCTGTGTGAGGTCATTCCTTTTAACATTCTTTATAATAAACAGGGAAATCTTTATAATATTAATTCAGTAGATTTTTTTAACACTTTTCGAATTCATGATATTTTATTTTTATATCTCTTAGATTTTAAATATAAAAAGTTAAAGTCAATGTATTTTGAAATCTATTCTATAATATAGAACCCAGCTGTTACGAGGTTTGCCGTCTAGATCACGTGGAAGTGCTCCAGGCTCTCGAGGTGGTTTATAACTAGGCGTCAAGCAGGGACTTAAGTAATGACAATAATGATATGCAATTCGTAACTAATAGTAGAGTATACTAAATGATTGATCTTGAGCACGAAGCTCTATACAAAGGAAATCCATCTTGATTATATAGACCTTCGTGTTCTAGCTGATCAGTAGGATCAGTATGGCTCAGTACTGAGCTTGCTGATCCTCACTGAGTCAGTCACATGATATTGGTAACACGTGAGCGTCTTCTTGTTACCCGGCGTAACACCAGCGTTTGTATATTAGAATCTTAGGGGTATAAAGATAAAAAATATTCAGTTCGGAGTGGGGGGGTTTAGAAGTTTAGTTCAGAGAGCAGGAGAGTAATTTAGTAATCTTCTATTCTCATAATGATCCAAGGATATTCAACAACTGAGTAAACCAGCAAACGCACTGCGAATATCTGTAACGATACTGTACTAGAGGCAGCGGCTGCCTAAGGTTTCGTTTGGTTGGTAGTTGTGGGTTAAGGCTTTATGTTGACCTCCTGGGATCTTGGCAGCATATGCATATAAGGAGCAAACAAAACTCAACTTTTAATTCATTCTTTCCTTTTTGGTATACTGTTTGTTTGCTTTCAATATTTTGATTTCAAAGCACTTTAATTCCGAAGGCTGAATACCTAACCTCATTCCTTCATTTTTTTGAATATATACTCGCAGCTTAACTGCTTAGCTAGAGAATCAATCAATTCAATCGGATGCTCTTTCTGGTCTCAAGAAACCCAATAGTATATGATGAAAGCTTGCCATGTCCTAGGACCTCAATATTCCAGATATATTATTTTTCGAGACATGGTACCATGAAACAGAGAAAAACATCATAAGAGGGCTTACCCAGGAAAAATTCCACCCATTTAGGACGATATTATCTCTAGCTTCCAAGAAGATAATGGTAATCTTAACACAGAATACATGGGCCAAGAACACAAATGCGGAATAGAGATCGCAGAGGGTGGCTGACGCATTGTATGAGTAGTGTTTCTTTTCGATTTAGCTTGATTTGGATTGTGATTTGTAATTTCTGTATTCCGAATGTTCGAATTCAGTAGAGTTTCGATGTGATTTTGATGTGGTTCAAATGTCCAAGAAACTGTGATTCATCTAATAAACAAAGTTCAACAACGTTCCTTCTCCGAGAAAATATCAGATCCAATTCTCATGCACCCCGAGGACAAAAAGTCCAGAAAGGCAATACTCATCATATATAAGCCTTGCATAAAGTCTTCAAGCTCGCACTTTCATTTTCCATCTCTTCTACACCACCTATTAGTATCCTAAAAATATCCATGAAGCCTTGTTAGGAACACCTACCGTGACGAGACTAAATCATCACTTCGTCGTAAACGAACTAAGACTTCTCTTTCCCTCTTGGCGATATTGTTCCGGTCTCCAAATCCTCCCAATGCTTTCTCTCTAACCTGAAAAAAAGTGATACCCGCTCAGAGCGCGCGGATTTCCATACATCCCCCATTTCCAATTTAATAGCAGTAAATCTTTCAATAATTCCATCAATTTTCGCGCGCCCTTCTTCTGGCTCCAAATACACGAGCCCCTGCATGATGGCATATTTTGCTTTCCGAGAAAATTGGTACCTCCAGAATCTGTAAGTGCCCACAAGTAAGAAAGAAAATATCACGGTTATCAATACGAAGGTCCGCCACATTGTGAATGTGGAAATTTCTTCATCCTTGTCGAAGTCAGGTAGCATGAATCTCTTGGAAATAAATCTCCATACCTTAAGGTTCCATATGAACCGTAAGATACTTCCGAATGCATTACAAGACGAGGGAATTGCTTCCATATTGATGAGAATAGATGAAAATGCAGCAAGGATATAATGACCTTTAAGTAATGTTGAGATATAATATTTCAGATTCAAAATGTGAGCTGTAAATGTCTCAGGTGATAAACATATATATCTGTCTGCTTGAAATTTGAAGTTTTCTATTCCACAGGAAGTTTGAAAATTTTGAATCTTTAATAGATGAATGTGTGTGGGTGCGTGTGACTAGTAGTTTTAGTACAAGACGAACTAATTTAATGAAGCCCTAACTATGAGCGAGCAGACTCGAAAATTCACCCCGCCGAAAGCTACTACGTGTCTTCTCCAAAGCTCTGCCAACTAACCCCCAGAGCACAACCGGCAGCAGGCTGCCTTTCAGTCACCAAGTAAAACAATCGGTCGAGGCTGTGAGCGTAAGCTTGTAAACACTGGGGAGATCGTTCGGCGGAAAAATGACGGAACCGTTTAGCTCCAGCTGAGCTGTGCTACTAATAGCCAGTATAGGCCGCTTTCAATCGTCAAGAAACGGCTGAGAAGATATCCAATGGTATCATGTGCGCTACCTTCATTGCTAAAAAGAAAGTAAGCAATCGTGTATGTTTCAGGTGATATCAATCCACTAATGGCCCCCGAACTTCCAGCTATACCTAAGCTGAGGAAAAGTGGCCTGTGGAGAAGTAAACGCCTCTAAGAATGATATCGACGTCATTGATAGCCTGAACACATACAGGGATGAAGACAAACGCTCCGTAGATAACAGCAATTATAAATCCTTAGTTAACCATCAATATGGAAACCGCTGTTTGGCGAATCATCGGATCTGGTATCATGACATCTTCACTCTTGTGGTCGCCCCGATCTTACAACGGGAAGTTGCGACCGATCCACAGAATAAACCGATAACTTTCGAGGAGTTCGACGCAGAAGTATTTTCATGTGGAAGAGCTACAAGCACCTGAAGAACTGTTGAGCAAACAGATGAAATCCTGAAAGGTCTAAATGGCGAAGTATCCTAGGTATAGTTCTGATTTTTCTATTTATATATTTGCTCTAGGATGAGAAGAATGACGGTTATGACTGTGATTTCGCTCCAAGAGGAAGGCTGATATAATGTAAAAGTCTGGGCTTCATATTAGCAGACTGCCGGAAGAAAACATTAAGGAACTCACACCATTTCTAGCTAGTAAAGACCTCACCCATGAGCGGTCCAGTAACAAGTCCAAGTTGATGAATACATGTCTCAATTTCATCTTCAGGGTCAATTTTTCAAATATTGAAACAACATTTATCTCCCATGGTAAATCCAAAAAACCGTTTTAGGGCCCGCTAACAAACTTAGCTTCGTCGTTATGGTATATCATCAATCTCATATTCAAGTTACCAACACTTTTTTCAAGAGATACCCAAATTAAACAAGGAACAACGACTTCAAAAGTACGGAACCAATCTGAAGAATTCCAAAGAACACCAGGAAGATTCACTGTGATGAAGGTTATCAGCCATTGATACAGGTGGAAGAATTCATACACCAGCTTTGGTATAAAAATGAGTATAAATTTTCCCTGTCAACGGCTGGATAGCTGCATTGAATTGATCTCAACCCTCACCATGTTCAAATGATCCGAAAGTAAGAGGATTTGGCTTGTCTCCCGAACTGTACGCACTAACATGTCAACCAACATCCATGAGAGAATTGAGCTGGCTTCTGATGCTTGGGATATCCTGTAGTTGCAGTGAAATAGAATCACTAAGAAATTAAAATAGATGTACTGCACACAAATTACTGTACCAATAACCATCGTATCTACTAGCATGAGAAAACATGTCATGGCTATACTGGCAACATACTCGTCCATGCCACCCGTCAGCCTGCATATAAAGACTCGCGTAATTTTAATCCTTGTATTTTCGTTAATAATCCCTCTCTCCATACCTCTATATATGCTATATATACTATATCCACACCCCATCTTATCCCATTCCGGATTCCAACTCCAACAGTTATAATCCCACTGGTATGACTACAGACCAAAAGTTGGCTACACAGATTCTCGATAAACAGGGTGAAATCCACTTGCTATCCTTACCATCATATGTTATGCTTTCGTTCTCTTATAACTGCGCGGTAAAAGACTCCAAGTTTTACTGCACTATTCCAGTCAAACTCCAATTCGTTTTATCAAGTACAATCAAGATTCCTACCAGTCCCAGTACGCACGATGTCTTCTGCTACACCCCTTGAGCCTACAGGTCTTATTGCAAACGAGGGCATCGGTACGTGTGATTTTCCCGCGGAATAATGGTGCTTTATGGAAGTTTTAGGCGATTGCGAGATCTGATATGGAATAGAATTACTTACATTTTGGACGCCTAATGGATACAAGATCTCCATCCTCCTTGAGGAGCTAAAGGTAGGTACTTAAATGATGATATATCGCTCAGCACACTAGGAATTTTGAAGAAATACTAACTACCACCTACAGGCAGCATATGGCAAAACGTACACTTGGAAAAACATCAATGTATTCCAAAACGAACAGAAGGATCCCTGGTACACTTCCATCAATTCAAACGGTCGTATTCCTGCTATAGTCGACCATGACCGCTCTGACTTTGCCGTCTGGGAATCATCCGCGATATTGTCCTATCTTACCCGCCACTACGATCCATCTCATCACTTCTCCTTCCCCATTGAATCTGATGACTATTCCCGGTGCGAACAATGGATAGCATTTCACCATGCCGGCGTAGGTCCCATGCAAGGTCAAGCAAACCACTTCTACCGTCTCGCTAAAGAGCGTATGCCTTACCCTACTCAACGCTATATCGGTGAGTGTGAGCGACTGTATGGTGTTCTTGACGGTTTTTTAGCGGATAGGGATTATCTTGTTGGTCCTGGACGTGGAAAATACAGCATCGCTGATATTGCCAACTTTACGTGGGTTAATGCGGCTTATTTTTCTGGGATTGAATTGAAAAAATTCCCGAATTTGTGGACTTGGTGTGACAGGATTAATGCTCGAGAGGGTGTACAGAAGGGGATGGAGGTACCGCAGGTAAGCGGCTTGGATAATAAGGCTTGGTTGAAGCAGTTGGAGACTGGGAGCGAGGAGTTCAAACAACAGGAGGCTAATCTCCAAAACCTGTTGGCGGAGTATAACTTTCAAGGAGAGAAGAAAACTTGATCTTGATGTGGATGAATCATGTCATGGTAACACGCAATATTCAAACACGAATTTACACTTAAATGTGAAATAACTACCGGTAATCTGATAATCATTGTCTTTACTAATTGTGAGTACAAAAATGTATTTGCTTCTTCCCTTAGTGTTTCTTCAATGCCATACATTAGAGACTTTCCGGAAAAATCATATATTATTTGGAGTTAGAAATTTAAAGGCACGATAAAAGACTTCTCGTCTCATTTTGTAAATTATACCAGTGGTATGATCAGGAGTCATTTAAAGTGAATCATCTCAGCATAAAAACAGAGTATTGAACAAGAACAAACGCAATTGAGATCAATATCTCTGTCTAGGATATTCTCTACTTCCATTTTACGTCCCCATACATTTCCGACTTTTGAAATAAAGAAACTTCCAGCAAAAGAGCTCTCTACTTTATATCTACCTAATTCCCTTTAAAAAATGTATCAAACCTCGAAATAAAATCTACAGCATATCTATCTATAAATTCAAAAACACCTACAGTAGTAATCTTATAAAACATAAAAATAGATATTAATAACATTAACAACACCCAACAACCCAACTTCGCACTAATTATCATCTAATCTTCCTACTTCTATAAACGACGCATAAGTCAAACATAACATACCAGTACCAATCAATAGCACTCCAAACCAAGAATAAAAATTCTTCAAAATCTACTCTCTCTCAAAACCGACTATTAATCAGCAATATAATTAAATTATTCTCAAATTGGGCATGCATCATGGATCAAATAAATTAAACAACTTTTGGGATCATGATGCACTACACATCATAAGATTTTAATTACTTCTCGCTTAATTACGGGGAATTTTTAGGTGATGTGATGTGATGTGATGATGCTTGCTTACATACTATATACACACCTCATATGCACTGTGCCATTGCCTTACATTAGGAGCCCCTCCTCCAACATTTCCCCTCCAACATTTTCAAAAATACGTGTATGCGGCGTATACGATTTTATTAGGGATTTTGCTCTGCTCTGCCCTGCTCTTCCTCTTTTTTTCAAGATAGATATTAATATTCAAGAACTTCTTTTTCTTCTTTTTCTTCTGTTCTGCTCTAAGAGTTTTGTTTTGAGCTAAGGTACCTACCTAGACGATATTGATATTTTATTCATCTACCTCCTAATTGTTCACTACTGATTTCTCGGTATCATTTCGCTTTAATAAGTGGTGTTCGTTAACCTCACCACGTTCAGTGTCTATTCAAGAAAGCTTAGTTTGCGAGCGGTACCAGATTACTCTGAGTTCATGGGCCTTACACCAAACCAAACCAAACTAAATCGATATCAAAACCTCACTCCCATAAATCTTTCAATCCCAACACAAAATGGAAGCTCTCATCACACAAGCGAAACAATTAGCTTCGACTACCAGCGAAACTACTCGCCAGCAACTAATCGAGCAACTTCGAGACCTTACCTATTCCCTCGAGACGGAAGATGATACTATGCAGAGACTGTTATACCGAGTAAGTAACGATAAAACCCTATTGTAAAGACTCCACTAACTTCCGTATCTCAGCAACTGGAAATAGTGATGATTAGAGTGAGCGAGGACCTTCAGCTCTTCGAGCTTCTAAGCTCTACTCAAAACTCTATGACTGTCGAAGAACTTTCCCAGAAGACAGGTGCTGCACCTGTTTTACTCGGTCGTGTACTGAGGTATCTTGCTTCGATGAAACTCATCAAAGAGACCGGAAAAAATCAGTATACTTCTACCAAGATCACCAAAACACTCGCTGTATCCGGTAATAAAGCTGGTGTGTATCATCAGTAAGTATGGTACTTCTCTACCGCGTTAGGATGTAAATTCTGATACTGTGCAGATACAATCTCATAGGACCTATATGGGCCGATCTTCCCAATTACCTTGCGAGGCATAACTATCAGGATATGACTGATAGTAACGATACATGCTGGCATTCAGCGAATAAGACCGACGAGCACATTTTCAGCTGGGTGGGACGTCATCCTGATGTAGCTGCCAATTTTGGAAAATGGATGGCGCGATATATGCAAGGACAAAAAACATGGTTGGATATCTTTCCATTCGAAAAAGAAGTAGGGAGCTGGAAACCAACTAATGGTGAAGATGTACTCCTTGTCAATGTTGGCGGAAATTTCGGCCCTCTTTTAGAAGGATTGAAGGCGAAGATTGCGGGGATTGAAAGTCGAATTATCTTGCAAGAACTGCCTAAAGACAGCAACCTGCGATCTGGACAGGACCAGCCACACGACGGCGATGCAGCCGCAGCTAGGGAAAAACCTGCTGTTGAGACCACCGTCCATGATATATATACCCCTCAGCCCGTTAAAAGTACGTGATATTTATTCTCGAATTTTCTCCAGTATCCTTTCTAATCAGCTAACACTCACGTGCACAGGTGCAAAATTCTACTACATCCGAAGTGTATTCCACGACTTTCAGGATGAAAAGTGCAGTTCTATTCTGCGCAACATAGTGCCGGCCATGGGCACGGAGTCGGTAATTCTCATTGATGAAAAGATATTCCCTGATTCCAATGTCAACTGGAAGATGGCGCAAATCGATATTTCAATGATGGCATGTTTTGCCTCTATTGAGCGGACAGAGGCCATGTGGGACGCCTTACTTGACTCGATTGGACTTAAGGTTATAAGAAAGTATCTTTATCAACCTGAGTTTTATGACGGTGTTCTGGTTGTTGAGCGCAAGTGAAATGTCATTTTAGCTTTCGAAAAATTCCGAAAGTAGACGAGTAAACTGGGGTGGAAAAGCCGAATATCTACATCAATAAGTTAGCTATCTAGTTTCCAAGTAGATTGATCAAGTTCATTTGAATAAACAGCACTTTAGCAATTAGCTTCGATGTAATTGTTCGTGTGAAGATGTTGAGGCAACACACATGATAATCCAGCAAGTGGGTATCCGGTCATCTCCTAGGGCCACGAAACTAGAATGCAATGAAACTTCAGCGTCCCTAGGACTTTCTCTCCACGGAGACTGCATACCCCATCTCAGATGCCTAAGCAAGCTCACCAACCAACTACTCAGAGAAGCCGAAGACCCCCAAGTATTAAATATTTAAGAGCCCCCATCCCCCCTCCTTTCACACCAAATTTCTTCAAGTTCAGAACATTTTTGTTTCTTGGATATCAAGGCCAGCAGTAACAATGCCACCAGCAACAACCATCATGGAGGACTTATTTCACCAGCTCAGTGATATTGCTAGCTCAGCCGATGATGTCACCAAAAGAGATCTTATCATGAGGCTTCGTAGGATAGCTGACTCTCTTGAAGACGTGGATGACACGATAAACAGACTCATGCACTTGGTAAGAACCCAACACTCTCCAGTCAATTACACACTTCCAACCGTCCATTGGTATCTTTGCATGCTATAATATTTGATAAGTACTTACTACAGGGCTTAGCCTCTCGAGCTAGCTAGCCGTGATTCGTGTAGGCGTAGACCTCAAGATATACGATTTACTAGTTGCACACAAAACACCCATGAGTGTTGGTGCAATCGCAAAGGACTCGGGAGCCAGTTCCCAATTGCTAGGTTCGAAAAGACCTGTACCCTAACAATCAATTGTTCATTTTGATAATTAGAAAACAGGCAGATTGCCGCGCTTTCTGTCCTCTCATGGTATTATCAAAGAAAGTAGCAAGGACGAATTTACCTTCACAAATATTACTCAGAACTTGGTCGCCACAGGCAGTCAGGCAGGTATTTGCCACAAGTACGTCTCCAAAAATCACTGGGCACCGGTTCGACTGACGTCTCAAAAACCATAGTTTCGCCACAGTTTGTCCCCGATATCAAGAACTTCCTGCCTTCCTGAGGAAGACAAAATATCAGGACATGTAACTTCCATTGATTTATCAATGATGTGCGCACTGGCTTCGGTTGAGCGAACGGAAAGTCAATGGAAGGCACTCTTCGCCACTGAGGGCTTAGAGCTTATACAAACAATAAGCTATAAGCCAACAAGCTACGAGAGTATTACGAAGTTTGTGCAAATTTAGCTTGTATAAGGACGCTAGTCATGTTATATTAAAGTTTTTTTTATTTTAACTTTAAAACTATCCACCCAGTATTATATCTAAAACCCAATAATGCCAAACTCAGAATTAAGCTACTACATAATATTCCAATGAAAAAAGGAAGCCATAACATTCTAGATACAAACTCCCTCATCTACCATTTCATTGAATATCTAATCTTACAAGAGGAAAAGGCAATAAATATTCAAGCCTGAATATAAAAAGAAGATAGCGATGGACGAGTCCCCTACCCCACATTCCTGTCACTTTTCACATTATCAAAAATCATAAAAATCAACATTTAACTCACAACTTTCTTATTTATATTCATCAATTATTCATTTATTTAATAGGCAGATTTCAGATTCAGATGTAGTTTAGGCATAGTAAAAATGGAAGATAAAAAGAGAACGATTGTATCATCATGCCATGCCATGCTATACTATGCTATGCTACGCAATGCAATGCTATACAACGTAAATCCATTTTATGCCATGCCATACCATACCATGCCATTCAAAAAGTCAACCATGCATTTTAAGCACTCATCGTTTAAGCAACAAGCAACAAGCAAAAGACCAAAGAAGAAAGAAAGAAAGAAAAGTCAGGAAATCCATCAAGGGCGGCAAAAAGAGGTAATATTTCGATACCTAGCTGATGGTATGGTTTTGTTGATCCCGTTATTGATCTCCATCCACCAATTTAATCTTCATAAGCATCACCATATTCCCACATACCCTGACGATTCTGTCTAGCTTGAGTTTGACTCTCGGTCAAACTCTTGATAACATCTGCAAATCCCTTCTCCCAACCCTTCAACTTAGTTGGAACCATGCTGAGACCCATAGCTACAACATCATTATTGATACTATCAGTCAAATTTTGACTCTTGGCATCGAACAAAGTGACATATAAAGTTCCATCTGGAGCTGTATAATCCACATTTGCAACAAGTTCTCTACCAGCTGTGTTGTGGGTGATAAAGTCAATTGCTTCTCTCATGTAATCCTTATTTGTAGGGAATTGAAGAAGAGTCAAAATGGCATCCACAGCTTGTGGACGAAGCTTTTGAGTTGAGAATTGTGGTTGAGAAAGTGGTCGAAGACGTGACCAAGGAATCTTCTCACTGTTACCATAATCAATGTAAACAACTTCTGCCTCCTTAGCAGTACGATCATTGGAGCGTATGCGAGCACGGTACCATTGACCATCCTCAGTAAACTTGGCTGCAACATAATCACCTGCCTTAGGTGGACCAGGAAGACCAGCTGAGTTGGATGGATTCAAATGGAAAGATTTGAATTGAGTCATCAAAGTCTCAAGAGCTGAAGTACCAGTACCGATGATTTGAAGTTTTAACTTTCCATCTTCAGCAATTTCGGTAACAACAACATCTCGGTAATCCTTTTCCCTCTTGATTGGGGCGACTTCGTCGTTGTTGTCGTTGGCAGGTTGGTATTCTTCCTCTTCCTCGTCTAATGATGGATCCCAATCTGCCCAGATACCCTTTCGAGCATCTTTTGCACGCTTTTCAGCTGCTAATAATTCCTTTGAATTTCCGGATTGCTCGGCTGAATGTTGATGAACAGTGGCATAACCTTCTTCAACCAAAATTTTACCAAAGCTCTCCTTATTTATATAAAGCTCACCAATGAAGCCACCAACTTTATCGGTATTATGTACATCGATTTCAACATCACGTTGTGATAGTCTTCTTGAAGCAAGATCGTGTGCTTCTTTACCAAATGGTTCGCTCTTTTCGCTTGGATTTCTCGCGGACTTAGGAGCTCGAATACCAGCAAGAACAAAGTTTAATTTGATGCCTTCACGAGGGACGAGTACAACAAATCGGCCACCACTTTTGACAAAATCAACAATGGCTGGAACTTTCTTTTGTCGTTGTAATGTTCCGACATGTAATTTAGCCTTTTGGACAGTTTCGGATGCATCAAGATATTGCTTTGCCTTAGCAGCCTTTCCAGACCACATCCCTTTCTTTTCTTCCTTAGCTTTCTCTTGTGCAGCCAGAAGTTCATCATAATTAGGAGCTCGGTCAGTGTCATCTCTGCGATGGCGGATTACTGAGGCCCAACCTTCCTGGACTAATTGCAAACCAATATTCTTATCATTAAGAGTAACCGTGGCAACTTCCTTGGCATCATAATCTTCGGTGCCCGGTCTTGATCCATCAATACTAATTCGGACATGCTTTCCAATGAGGCGTTTTCGAAGGAATTCCTTGGCTTCATCTCTGAAGGGAGATTCAGATGGCTCAGTAGGTCTAGGTCCACGAATACTACTGATGTTTATGCGCTTCTCAACGCCTGCCTTGTTCTGAACGTAAATTTGATCGGCGCTGAAAATCTTGGTAACTGTTACCTCAAGACTTCCACCTGAACCATTATTCTTTGCAACATGGTCTTTGAAGAGACCGAGCTTGGCATGTTGTGCACGCTTTTCAGCCTCACGTAATGCCGCCATGTCTGAGCCAAGAAGTGTAGAGTGAAAATCGGTACATCGTGCAAGTCCAGCTTCGAGGATGAATTTGGCAATGGTTCCTTTAGGATGTATGACTGAAGCGATGAGTTGATTTTGTGGGCTGAGTCCAAGAATATGTAATTTAACATTTCTTTGTAATAATCGTTCCTCGACGAAATGTCTTGCTTCGTTTCCGAACGGTTCGGCAGGAGCAGTTTGTCCATTCGATGGGTTAACTCTCTCAGTAGCTGGTGCACGGATACCAGCAACCAAAGTCATAACTAAATATTATCAGCATGATTATTTGACCACATGAATTCAGCAAACTGACCTTGGATATGCTGCGTGGGAGAAACAATCAAACGCACAAGCATTCGATCACCACTCAAAACACGTTCGACCAAACCATCGACTGTTTTTCCCTTCCATGTATCCAAGAAATTTTGAGAATTGCCCATGTCATGTTGAACCTCAATACGTCCACCATTGGTTTGCCATAAACCCTTGTCTTCGCTGCGTGCGGTAGCTTCGTACAAACGTAATGCGTCGAGTTGCTGAAGAGCTGATTCGGAGTCTTCTTTTCGACCCGCATCTTCTCTCAATTTGATCCAACCTTCCTTTATCATTTCTTCGGGTAATTTGGTTCCATCGTTAAGGAAGACAAGTCCGTATTCGCGCTTAGTATTTGGAATTTGGTACAATACTTGAAACTGTACCACCTTGCCCACAACTAATTTTCGCAGAGCGTCGCGAGACTCAAAAGCAAATGGTTCATCGCCTTCCTTTCGCAGATGTGGCGAAGTGCAATAAGCTAAGGACAAAATGCGCTCGCGATCAGGATTCTCGATAGAGGAAAGGACAAGACTGTCACCGCTCAAGACGGATTTAACTCTGGCTTGGTTGAGAACCATTTTGCTGTAATCGGATGGAGGGACGTTGGCAAGTCGTTTCTTTCCAAGCGGTGGAATTCGAGGACTAGGAAATGGTTCAGGCAGGTTAGCAGATTCATGAGAAACCTTTGAAGTCGTTGAACTGTTAGAAGATTTGCGGTCACTATGATTGCCTGCCGCAGAGCCTATCTTGAATGTTTTGACACCCATTTTGAATAGAAGAGGAAGGAGTCAATTAGGTTGTCGTTGTAATTTTGTTGAATAGGAATTGAGTAAATGAGAGTTGTTTCTTTGATTTTAGGTTGTAGATCGGAGGTAGAGGAAGGTAAAGGTTTTTGGGTATGGAAGCTGAAATTCGTAAAGGACAGTACGGCAGGTACATGTAGTTATGTTTTTCGTTTAGAAGTATAGAGATATATGTGATGTACCGTATGAAATGTAACTTTTGAGCAGAAGTGAATCTCGAAATAAGTAGGATGTGCGAAATTGAAATAAACTTTCCGAATCTGGATTGTGATTACTTTCAAAGGTGAGAAGTTCTTTCTCTGTACCTAATTGCGGCTGCTTGTTGACCATCGAACGGATGAACTTATCATGGTGAAAGTGATAAATTGAAGACAGTTCCTTTTTCTATGGTGACCAGCAGGTAGTCATCAATCTCCTCTCCTTCATAAATTCACTCTTCTCATCCAATGAATTTGATCCCAATTTCGTTACCTTTTTCCCATTTTGTCTATACATAGCCTTCTCGACCTTCATCTTACAGCTGTGTGTGTATTGCGGATTGCGGCAGGCAATTCTTGTATACAGTACCTTTTACATATACGGTGAGGGGAAGGGGAAATGGAATATTGTACGACTTACATAAAAGTCCAAAAAAGTAGGAATATGCGGAATACGATTAATTGTATGTTCAACGTTCAGTCAAAACTCGAATATATAAGGTATTCAATGTCTCTTTATAAAAGAAATTATATGATAAAAATAGAAAGAGGTCAAGTGTTCTCTTGCAGCTTCACCACATTAGATGAGGCTACATTTTATATATGTAATTCCATTACCTGTAAGGTCCCATTGAACCCTGGATGTGGGGTAGAGAAGATATCCGATGACTTATTGGCTTATGAAGCGAGAATCTGCTCAAATGAAGAAAGCTGTTCGGAAGATCATGCTCGATTTCTGTGGTGAAAGAGTATTTCCGGCTGAGAGTTAGTTGAATATATGTAGCTGAGAAATAAACAATGTATTGTAAAATCTTAACATATTATGCTACAATCATGACCGATGTTATACTCGAGCAATTGAGCTGATGATATAAGATACCTATCACCTAGCACTATCGACTCTAGCATCTAGGAAGTACCTAAATCTTAATGCCGGGGTAGCCGGAGCTTAGATACTTGAACTTGGGCGAAGGGCAAAACACTAGCCTCAGACATCAGTTTCAAATGATGCAATATTTTGGTGCATTGAGCTGATTGATAAATTGATTGCTACATTTGCTCAATTTGCTTAACCACATTACCAGATATTCAGTTCGGCTCAAGTAGCTATAGGTATTCGTGATTCGGTTCAATCTAGTCTTCAACTCACTTCAAACAACGGTAAAGCATAGTGTTGACTTGGACAAATGTAATGGAGTAAACAACTGCCTTTGCTAGACCTGAACACAGCAGAGGTAACTAAGCTAAACTACTACCAATTCCCCTTTTCCCATTTTCATCATGTCATATCATATCATTTTATACCATTGTGTGCTAAATCATTTATGCAGCAATACCAATAACACCTACAAAAAAACATTAGTGATGTGTCAATATATGTATCTGCAATAAGTAAAAACATACCACAAGCTGGTCTGGTTCCGGCGTTACCGGTCTTCTTGGACTCTTCAGTGTCTCCTCTGCCGAGGTCATCAGTTCCGGAGTGGACAACAACGGTACGCTGTAATAATTGTCAGTCTTGGTATATAATGTTTTGATGGAAACACCTACTCCAATGACACTCAATGGGCCAATCAACTTAATCTGACTATCTTCAACGGAACCAGTGGCATTTCCTTGAGCATCAGTCTTGAAGTTTCCGAGGTCACCTACATGGCGGACCTCATCGGTAGGAGCACCATGGGTTTGACCGTGTGGGTTGACTAAAGTATTGAATCAGCCTTATGATGCATCATATGTATTTCTATCCAGGACTTGGGAATCGTACAATGAGGACCGGCAGATGTGCAACCGTTAGTGTTGTCACCGAATTGATGAATGTGCATGCCACGCTCAGCGTTTGCGTCGTTTCCAGAGATGTTCCATGAGATGATGGTTGGGGAAGACTCGTCAGCTTGCTCGAGAGTGACGGTACCGGAGACCTTGGAGTCACCTCGGACGGTAGCAACTAAAAAAGAGGAAAGAACGAGATTAGCACACGACATTCATTTTGTAAGGCAGTGAAACAATGAAAGATGGAGAGGAATCTAATCTAAAATATTGTAATATTGTAATATTGTAGATTAGATGCTTGATTGGAGATAGTGTGCCCATCAGGGTATCCCATTGTCAATGAAAATGTGCTCAAAAGCTCTCTAGTTAACCCCGCCATTGGTTACAGCATTAAATATGCGGGGTAACTAACAGCAGAGATTAGGATGTTAGATATAAAACGTACCTGCTTTAACCATTTTGATGAATTATTGATGAATTTGTTGATTTGAAGGTTTGGAGGTTCCTGAAGATGATCTTTGGATGTAGTTGTCGTTTTGCAAGAAGCAGTAGAATAGGAAAGAAAGAGGGGTGGGAACTGGTGGAAGGAAGCTTTGAACATTCCAGCAGCGAAAGTGGGGTTTCTGGACGTGTTGGATCCATCATCCATCTGTATGATTATCAATTCAATAATCATCTTGAGTCCGTCTAACACCGAGCGAATCAAAGCAATGGACTGGTGGTATACTGTCACGTGCATTTATGACAATATCGATGTCTTCTCCGTTTTGTGATGATCTTGTCGTCATTATTATCAACTTTGTAAGTACTTCGTGCCTTAATATGGTATCAGCTTTGCCAGTTCGGATCCTAAAAATAATTGATATGATGCGACATCAGATGATGGGTTTTTTTTAAATTTAAGCTCTACAAGTTGACCGTATTTCATCGAACTTCTTCTAAAATCTCCAGGTCAAGGCCAACAGTGCAATTCAAAGGCTTCAAGTACCCTGTGCGGTTCACCGATGATTACAACTCATAGCTGATTTGTACTCAAAAAGAATAATATATATTCTACTGGGATCTTCCCAAATCATTACATCAGTTACTACCCATGGCCTACCCGGCAGGAGCACAAAACAAAGGCTTTCCGTACCTGAAATTCTCAAGATAATCTGAAAGTATAAGATGACCTTTCGAGTTGACACAGTGCTACTCTGGGCTCTGGATGGATGACTGCTATTGAAAGTTGTCATGCTTTGGAAATTGCAACATTATGACACCCAGGTCATTACACAGCGCAAAACCCATCTTCAACACTCGAGGATGCCACTACTGCACCTCGACGTTCTGAAATGCATTGATGTTTGGGAATAGCTTCAAGGGTCTGTCGTGCCCCGTTGCCCCTGCTATCACAGTTCTAATGCTAATGCTGGGGGTGGGAAGAAGATCATGGCGGATGAAGGTTGAGGGGGTTCCCCCTCGCCTGATTTCGTTGTGACAGTGGTAACTTTAGTGGAGAAATCGTAGTACTGTGACATTTTAATTGTTTGTAGGGAAGCTGGTTGGGAGTAAGGAGAAGGCAGAAGTAGGGGAATGTAGGTAAGATGGGAGTATGAAGGGCAGGAAAGGTGTGGTTTGACTATTTATGAGGTCAAATAACACTTGCCAGATTATACTTTGGAGTTTCTTTTTTAGCATTCTTACGAACTCGGAACCGTATTCGGTAAGCTTATTGCCTCAACAACCCTGTACTATTCGACTGCATGCATATAATTGTGAGCGGAGGGATAGTAGCAATGAGCAAAAGCACCATTAAAAGTGCTCATAGTTTGTAAGGACGGTATAGTAGGTAAGTAGTCTTCTGGAATGGTACCTCTAACTTCAATGGTGTCACGAAAAGGGTCCTTCAAAGGAAAAGAGATCCCCACAGCCGAAAGACATTCTAATGTCTGACTATGCGTTGGCTCATTATGGACCAGTCCTCAATTAATACTTCTTATAACACGTATAGCTATAATTTATAGTGTTAGAATGATAAATGATCCTCATTCGAAATGTTTAATGGATTGAAATACTAAAAGATCTGAAAATAGAGTAACCGTTTTTACATGTATGATACAATTTCTTTTCATCTCTGCTTGAAGTTCATAGCATGGTGTTCTAACCCAAGTTTAACTCATGGGATCCACGTGGGTGGTCGCTTGAATACCTAGTAACTTTTGGGGAAATGTTATTATATGAATCGAGAACCCTTATGAACCCCTTAAATAAACCCCTCCTGGTAAAAATACAAGATTGACATCAAAAGAGGATATTAATATACGTGAAGGCCTTTTCTCTCTCAATTAAGGAGCCGGTTCATACTTTGGAGAATAACCTTATTTGATACGATGTTTCAGAAATTTCCAACAGCGGATCTCAAAATGCTATTTAAAATATTCGTATAACGTATTAGTCACAGCCCTACCGTGAGGCTGGACTTCTTTCTTTTACTGTGCCATCGTTTGATCTAATGTAAGATTACAATGTATGAGCGGGGCGTGGCCTTGAAACGGTAGCAAATGTACTCTGTACGGACATGATGGAAGGAACGAATAAAAGGATGAATGAATGGATGAATGAATAAATAATTAAATAAATGAAAAGGCAAAGACAGCAAATATAAAATATAATCTTACCACCATCTGAATGGCCAAGAAATCCCCAATGAATGAATTTATTCAATCACGAGTGATCCATCTCCATCTACAAAATATAACCTTACTTCATTGATAATTTTTAGAAAGGACTGACTGAATATAACGTCTTTCAAAATTTCTAATCTTAGAATGATTTAGATGTATAATTACACCATATCTTACCATATCACTGTGTAAAGAGTGGTCATCAATCAACCAATCAAGATCAAAGAGCTTGCGACGACAATCAGCTCCAGAACATTATCCAAAGATAAAAAAAATAAGATAAAATAAGGCATATACGAGTTCACAAACAACCTTTGAATAAGACAAAAAGCATCACATCTTTCACTTGACTCACGTAGTCAGTCATTCATCAGCCACTCCCTCATTTATTTAAAAGCTACAAAATATCATCATATTGCAGTGTTTGGTTATCATAGCACTAACCCCCCACAGCAGAATCCGAAGGGTTATACCTGGTCCAGATAGATTGATTTATACGGAGACTCCGAAAAACCGTATTGAGTTCTCTCACATTGTCGCAAAATCTGGGCAATCAAGCATTTTTACACGACACCGCGCATAGGCCTAAGATTGAGACGTCAACTTACGCTGATTATCTGGGAACCTCGAGCGTCGCTGAAACTCCATTAACATCGACAGACGGCATATCTTCCCCTTGAACTCACCATCCGCAACGACCGAATGTGCATTATCTCGACCTCTCTAATTGCGCGCAGAGCATGCAGGTACTCGTAAAAAAGGAACCCCCCAACATACAACCACGATAAACTAGCTAGCCGATTCCCGGATTATTCCATTTCTTGTGTACATACAGGTCCATTCGAAGCTTGAGCCCTTGCGCAGATTTGTATTGTCGCAACTATGTCCTTCCACGCAAATGGTGGTCGACGCTACGGACATGTGCCTCCAGCACAATATGGAGCACCAACGGGTCAACCTTCAAATAATTCGAGTCAAGGCTTGCAGAGGCAGTCTAGTTTCGACAATGGAGATGATGCTGCGTTTTTTGATCCGGGTCATAGCGGTTACCAACCTGCCCCTCCATCTTCGGCGAGGGCTTCAATGCCATCAGAGGATTTATACACATCAAATAACTCTATGAGTCCACATTCGCCTGGCAGATCATCATTTGGCACACCTGGTAGTCCAGCTCTGTCAGGATACCAACATCAATATCAACCCTTGAACGGACCTCAGTCCCCCTCACTTACCCAACAACCAGCATATAACCCCCAGAACTTTGTCAGGTCCCAATCGCACTCACAGCCATCTCAATACCAGTCTCAACCCCAGTATAGCCCGAGCCTTTCTAGCCAACATCAATACTCAAATTCTACATCTTCCAGTCATCAGCCATATAATCCTGCAGCTTATCAACCATCGCAATATCCCACACGCGCCTCATCGACTGCTTCTGCGTACAATAACTACAATAATTACAATAACTCGTATGCGCAGACTCCTACATCTGCATCAGGATCCTATTGGTCTTCATCATCCCCCCCAGCGCGCGCAAGTGCCATATATGAGAGTTACATGGATTCGCCACCTATGAGAAGTCCAAGCTATGCTACTCACTCGGCTCCCCTACCACTGCCCCCGAGGCAGGCTTCGTACAATCCGCCACCTACAGCTCCGTATCCCGTCAACGGAGACACTTTTGCTGAAGATGATTACATGAGGAATACACAAATGCCCACATACCCAAATTTCCCCGGTGGTGTACTTCGAGAAAATTCAACTGACTCCGTATCCCAAGATATCCCTCCCATTCCTCCGCCCAAACGGTCTTCAACAAACTCTTCAGGTGCTCCGGTGATGAGTATGCCTGCGTCTCCTGGAACTACATTACAAAGACATCCAACACAAAGACCGTTACCCAGTGCGCCAATGGAGCAAAATACGGGAGATGAAGATGACTGGGGTTTAGCAATACAAGGTAAGACAGATGAAGAACTTGCCCAAGAACAAATTTTTGCAGATATAGGAGATGCCCTTGGACCTTCCCACCGGAATGGGGACCTTCGGGATGGTGAACTACATCGATATGATTCAAGAGCAACTACTGTTCATTCTGGTGCTGGCGTTGACCGTTTTCCATCTACAGCTTCTACATTACACTCCAAAGAGACTATCTACGACGACTATGATGATGACGAAAGTGATTTGGAAGCTGTTGCGGGTCTCGAAGCTATGCGCATTGCCGACGAACAGGAATCCCAAGGGCTAGGTTCAGGGGGCTTAAGTTATGGTGGACTATACGAAGGACATTTATCTTATTATGAGACAGCACACCAGGATCAATATTCTCGCGAGGAAAGCAGTGATAGCGACTACAAAGGTATGGATTTGGGCCTTGCTGGCGGTGGCTATGACGCACATATGTCCTATGGAGATGATTTTGCTGGGATGAGTGCAGAGCATAGCAGTGAGATGGAAGACCAGAGTCGGCCATTACCGACGCCACACCAACTTAGTCGTTCTGGCAGCCGTGTTCAGAGAGGTAGTTTGGGAGGAATGGCCGATTACTCAATGCCAGGGGAGGGTGAACTTCACCCCTTTCCTGCTTTTGAAGAAGCGAGGGTTGATAATTATGGTACTGGTGGCTTGGAAAGGCCGACGTCTCATGCTCACCGGTTGAGCTTTGACGAAGGGGATGAACATTCAATGCAATCTCGGATTTTAGATTCTAGGCAAAGTGGTAGGTCTGGAAGTGATAGCCCCACGAGAGATGAGATGCCAGATATGTTCTACCATCCAGGAATGACACCGGGGTCTTACCAAAGGCCTCTCCCGGCAGTGCCTCCAATGTCCGAAAATAGGACACCTCAGTTACAAGCAGCTGGCGCTTACCGCAATTCGCACGGGTATTCGCACTCCTACTCTTCAAGTATCGATAGTGCGAGACCTTATCCTCCAAGTGGACCAGATGCATATGCACAGAACGCCCTTCAGCCTGCCCTTCAATATGTTCCAAGATCATCGTCACTCCATAGTCATAGCAGTACTGCACAAACAATACCTCCAGTCCGATCGAAAACAGACGCAGAGGAGCGCCAGGTCAGAGCAAAAGGTAACAGACAATCCATGCTACGGTCCGCCGCAGGGTTGGACGGCTATGATGCATCTACTCCGCAGTCACTAGGGACGCTTGATTTACCTGCCTTACCGGCCGGTCGTCGTAAGAAGTTTTCTCCTGGAAGATTATCGACAGCAGATTTCCGGAGGTGTGCGGAACCATGGGCTTTGAGTGGAATCGCAGCTTGGATACGAGAAATGGCTGGCGGAGAAACTGGAGAAGGCGAATCCGACCTTAGAGTAAAAATCATTGAAGATGGTCTCATTGCCTTATTCACTCACATGGTACCCACGATGAACACGGCCGATGCAGAGACGCTGAGTGAAAGAGTTGTAAAGTCTATGTTCGATGCTGGGATTTTACTGAATGACGAAGAATGGGTCAAATTTGGTCAAGGTGAGGTATCTGGTGTGTTATGGCAGTTGACAGGCTCGGGCTGCTATGCGCCGAAGCTTCATGAACATGAAATAGAAGGCCGATGTTACTCGCATCACTGTACGCGCACATTGAAGAAGATTAACTTACAAGCTCAGACCTTGGAACCGTCGAGAAAATCCGAGGATTGGATTACTTTCTTCAAACTAACAAAGGAAATGCTCGATGGTGTAACCAAGAAAGAGATCGAGCTACAGAACAATCTTCACGAGATAGTCATGTCGGAAGATATCTACATGGACCAGATAAATGTGTTGCGCATTCTATATCGAGACAATCTTGCTTCATGGCAACCTCCCATCATTGCGAAAGCGAAAATTAACAAGTTCGTTATTTCCGTTTTTGGAAAAGTCGAAGCAATCAAAGATGTCAATGAAAACCATCTCCTCGCACAGTTGAAATATAGGCAAAAGGAACAAGGGCCTTGGGTGACAGGCTTTAGCGACATTTTCAGGGAGTGGATAAGAAAGGCTAAATCGGCATATATTGAGTATGCTGCTGGGTTTCCATACGCCACATATCTTGTCCGAAGAGAAGCGGATAGGAATATTCTATTTCGTCAATTTCTAGACCAAGCTAGAGATAACAAACTGTCTGGCCGTCTAGATTGGAATACGTATTTAAAAGCACCAATCACGAGGTTGCAGCGCTATGGTCTTCTTCTCGGGACGGTTCTCAAAAATATGACCAAGGATAGCGATGAAAAGGCAACTCTAGCGATCGCTATTGAAGAGATCAAGGCTGTCACATTAGAGTGTGATGCCAAGGTAGAGGAACAAAGTAGGAAGGTCGACATGATTGAGTTACAGTCGAAACTGTATCTCCGCCCTGGCATGGAGCGTGTTGAGCTCAACCTGGATCATCTAGGCCGCGAGCTCCTTCACAGGGGAGATTTACAGCGTGCCGGTAACAATAGATTTACCTGGTTAGAAACTCATGCCATCTTGTTCGATCATTACTTTGTTTTGGCGAAGAGTGTCATTCACCGAGATGCCAGTGGTGCGCGAAAAAAGGAAGTTTATGATGTGTCGAAACTGGTGGGTGTTCAGCAAATTATGATCAATTGACATTACTAACCTTTGTTCTAGCCGATTCCCATGCAGCTTTTAGTTCTTGAAAGCAGCGACGACGACCCGGTGCAGAAATCCGCTGTAAAGGGTATAGGGGCTGTCACAACAACGGTTACCAAAACTGCCCCAGCAACTGCTGCTGAAGCAAGGTTAAATCGCACTGTCACTAACTCTAATGCACTTGAACGAATGCAAACATTGGAGCATACAAACTCTAACAATTCGGTTTCAACCACAAACTCTGTGACGCGACTTAATACCAACAATATGAACGATAACGATGCAAAGGTGATGTATCCATTCCGGATAAAGCATCTAGGCAAGACCGAGGTTTACACCCTCTATGCTCCATCAGCCGCAAGCCGGGATAAGTGGTGCGATAAAATCACAGAAGCAAAGACGCGTTACGCAGCGGCTCTATTTGCTCAGAATGCTGAACCTTTCCGTCTCAAAGTTATTGCCGACAGTGCATTTGCCTATGACAACTCGGTGATCTACCAACAAAGAGCTCTGATTGCTATCTCTGGTACACCACTAGATAGAGCCGTCAGGGAGATGGAATACTCTTACGGATCGAAACCACGGCCATCCCCAGTATGCAGAGCTCAGGTAAATTGCGCTGTATCTTTTACATCATACGGGAAACTTTTGATTGCAATTGGAACGGATTATGGGGTTTATATTTCTGAGGCATCAAATCCTCGAGGGTGGTCAAGGGTAAGTGCACCTTGTTGTTGATTTTAACAAACTTTAGGCTAACGTTCGTAGACAATCCAAATGCCCAAAGTCACACAAATCGCAATCCTGGAAGAATTCTCGCTATGCATCATCATAGCCGACAAATCTCTAATTGCATATCATCTCGACGTAATCATTCCTTCCTCGAACTTCTCTGGTAACCATGCAGACTCATCTCGTCGAGCACCTCAGAAACTTTCCGGCGCTCGTGACGTGTCATTCTTTGCCACAGCTCGTATGAAGGAAAGAACGCTAGTCTTCTACAAGAAAAAAGAGAGTCTTCATTCTGTTTTCAAAGTCTTAGAGCCAGTCGTTCAAAAATCATCGGAGAAAAAGTCTCGTCTATTTGGTAAACGCTTTGGTGGCAATACTGAATTTTTCCGTGAATTTGACGAATTTTACATTCCAACCGAATGCTTCACCATCAATCTTTTTCAATCATACATCGCCATATCTACGCAGAAAGGATTTGAACTTCTAACCCTTGATAAAAAGGTTCCAATGAGTATCCCGGATACCAAAAACCAAAATATAGCGTCCATAGCCGCTCGACTCCAGGGTCAAAGACCTCTAGGCATGTTCCGACTTTCTGACGCCGAATTCCTTCTCTGCTATGCAGAATGTGGTGTATATGTGGATAAACACGGCGAAGTATCTCGATCTGTCATTATGGAATTCGTAGGGAGAGCGAAAACGGCAGCCATGTATGGTGCATACTTGGTACTCTTCGATAGTGATTTCGTCGAAATAAGAAATGCGGAGAATGGAAGATTGAGACAGGTCATTGCGGGTAGTGATGTGAGATGTCTTGATGCGGGTACGAATCCACAGGGTGCAGGTGCTAATTCTATGGCTACTATGAGTCCGATGGGTGGACATGGAGGTACCATGAAGAGGACGTTGAAATTGGCCATGGCGCATCCGGAGATTGTGGGCAATCAGATTGTGTTGGAGATGCGCTCGCGTTAATGAGGGGCATTTGGAGTAGTGGGTGGGCGAGTATATGAGGGT